TTTCGATACCCATGGTGGGCAGAGCATAGATAGCCCCTTGTGTAGCTTTATGCTTAATTACAAACAAACAAACTATATTTTATTTTTATTTTTCTCTACCATATCACTAACTAGCTATTATCATCAATGTACAATGCAATGAAATGATAAAAATTAGGAAATAGAAAAAAAAATACATACCTTTTAATTTTTTGTATAATATCTTTAAAAGATTTTCCTTTCATTAAATTCATAATTTCATCTCTTTTCCTTTTCACGTATAGTTAATTTTTAATGTTTTATTTTCCTTTCTTGTCTTTTACCACTTATTATTCATCTTAACACAAGTCAATGGTGCCCTCAAGGCATATTACAGTTTCTTTGGGAGACATGCACAATCCTTCAGAAAAAGCTTTGTTCAACTCGTACTATCATGAGGCTTGAGAACAGAGATGAAGTACGATGCATATTATAAAATTAAACCTTTTAATTATGCATTTTAAAACATAACTAATACATAATTAACTAAACTACAATAATAAGACCTAAATACAAGCTAAGCTGTATCTCTATCTATAACATATTTAGGTAAGAAATGCCATAAGTGCTATAGTCAGTCAAGCAGCCAACAATACTATAGTAAATTTCATGTACTCTATGACAAAGGTTTGGCATCAGTTTCAAAATAACTGTTGTTATTTTGTACTATAAAATGATATTGAGAAAGCTGTATGGCACACAATAGTCTAAAAGTTCTGTATGTCAGGAATGAAACTTCCACGTGGTGTTATTTGCTGGCTATCAAATTTTCTGGAGAACAGAAGATGCAAAATAAATGTAGGAGGAACACTCTCAGAGCCTCTTACTTCAGACCCAAACCTAGGCTTCATTTTACAATTTGTTGATGATTTTGGAGTCTGGAAAAATGCTCCTACACCTCAATAGCAGCAACAAATTTACAACATCAATTAAATATTATTGTAGAACAATTCCAAAAATACCGTACTGTTGCGTATCTGCTTGTTTAATAATTTCCGGTAGAAATTCTTTCCGAGGAGCTTCAGCGATACAAGTCCTCTCTTGATTAAACCAGTTTATTCTTCCTCGATACAAACTTTTAGTACACAGTAATTCCACAATCAATATGTTTCTCATCACTTTAAACTTAACAACTTTTATAATACATGCTATAATTCACAGTGATTCACACACTTTACTTACTGTCACTACTGTTCGCTTCTTTAATTATCTATCTATCTTGCTGGCTTTCTTTGCCAGGCTTATATACTAAAAAAGAGGGCATCTAGCAAACACTCAGACATTTGCAGGGTTCCCTGATAATTTGAGAAACTCCAGCGCGCATGCTCCCAGCGTCATGTGACTTCCGCTGTCATAACAGTACTAAAAGAAATGTCCCCAAAAATTAATTGGTAGTCTTCACAAAACTAAGAAAGGATCCACCCAAACTATCTGTAAATGGAACACTTCTCCAGACCACAACATCAGCCAAATTCCTAGGATTAACCTACAATTCTAAAATAACATGGGTTAACCACATAAATATTCTAACCAAAGTTTGGCATCATACGAATTATGCAAAGAGTCTAATAGGCAAAAACAATGGAACTTCAGCAGACAGCATAATTAAAATCTATAAAACATATATACACTTAGTAATTGAATATGCATGCCCAGCATGGATACACATTGCACCAAAAATATCATTAAACTACAAACAGTGCAAAACACATTACTGCATAAAAAGCACCCAGGTATACTTCTTCAAAATTTATGCACAATTATGCCAATTTCCAAACTATCTCTGATAGATTCCTACATAACTGTATATATAAAACCTAAAACAAATATTTTGTTTCATATTGTCCACGTGCAAAATTTTTAAAGGCTTAACAACCTACATCAAGCAGCAACTGAGTACAAAGGTCATAACTAGAACAGATAATTATTTGCTTTACTTCTTTAGTTACTGTTCTATGTTTTAGGAAAAATAACTTTAAGAACTTATTTCAAAAATAGCAATAATCTATATACTCATATAATGTATAATAATTTAAATGTGACTGTATTTTACATAATACTAGCCTACTAAAACACAGCCAAGACAAATTACACTGTACAGTCGAAAGGTCACC